TTTTCAGCCAGATTAAATAACAATATTTTGGCGTGGTAAAGGCATTCGAGGTGCATAGACACGTTGGCGTAAGTACTTGTACCTAAGCAATTCACGCTCATATGACTCGGTGTTGCGGTCATTTCTACAGGTACCAATCTAAAAAAAATAGCATAGGTAGATATGTGATGATCAGCAGTTTCGTACATTTGGCATGAATAATAATCACTCACATAAAACATTTTCCTATGTACACCCTAATCGGCACGCACGGCACACAGCAAACCGACAACATATTCACAACAACACAACACAACATTGGTCCGATCCAACAGTGCAACTTTCCAAGCTCGTCTACTTTGTATGTGCTTATCTAAGACACTTTGACTTCCTTGCCCTCCCGATCTTCTGAAAGCTCGTGGACGCGGACTGTGGTCAGGTCAACTGGACAGAATCTGTGGTACTGTCTCGTCCCCTTCACAGTTTTGGCCCTGGCGAAGCGAGCTTGTGAGTGATTTATGTGAGTGATTATTATTCATGCGAAATGTACGAAACTGCTGATCATCACATATCTACCTATGCTATTTTTTTTTTTTTAGATTGGTACCTGTAGAAATGACCGCAACACCGAGTCATATGAGCGTGAATTGCTTAGGTACAAGTACTTACGCCAACGTGTCTATGCACCTCGAATGCCTTTACCACGCCAAAATATTGTTATTTAATCTGGCTGAAAATAAACATTTTTTCACGGAATAAAAACGTTTTTCGCCAATATCTTATTATGTTTATGAAGTCAGATGTATAAAATAGCGCCATCGTGTCTGCTTTTTCCAGTCGGATCGAATTGTATAAGTTTTTATTTCGAAAGGTCAAATATGAAATTTGACCAAAATTTGACCCTAGGTCAAGGTCACGAAATGACCTTAACATATAAGGCTGCGTATGGCATGATGCGCCTGGCCAAAGTGAACTAATTGATGTGTTTCCCAAATCCCTATACCTATTCTATCAAAAGATATAGACATAAAAGGCATATGAATGTCGTGAGTCATAATGTGACCTCGGATGACCTTTCCGCGGGTCACTGATGCAAAATTGCACCAGAGTGATCAATAATAACCTAATATGGTATGATTATGAAGTAACTGTACCAGTCCGATGCGTTTTAGTGGCCTAGCCGGTACTTTTGCCATTGACTTATAATGGGCAGGTCACAAAGATGACCTGACCTGAGGTCAATGCAGGCCGATAGCCATGTTTTTTATTGTCGCATATGAACGACCATTGATAAGGCTTGAATCGTCATCAGACCAAATTTTAACTTTCAGGTGGGAAAGTGTCAAGGTCACTCTTCAAAAAATAGGTCAAGAGGTCACGTGACCAAAATTTTCGAAAATCGAAAATCCGAGATAGCCAAAAGTTTCCTTGGTTAATTTTGAGTTTGAAGACATAAAGTTATCCTTATACAAAAATCAATAGTTTCTAAGTTATGAGCCGCCAAACATAGGGTTGCTGCGTGACCTCCAGGAATTGCCCGAGGCTATATCTCGAAAACTGTAGGTCAAAAAAAATTATCCTTGCCACAGCTGGCTTTCCCGCCCATTTCTACCCTATACACCAATTTTGAGCGAAAAATAAAATATGAGGGTGTCAATTTAATTTTTTTTTGGTCGATCTATCGTGGAATGCCCCTGCAATGTTAACAAACATTCCCTGCACTAGGTATCCACCAACATGCATGTGCATTGTAATTTGTACAGCCATAAAAACATTATTATTATATTATCAAATATTAAAGGGTGCCACAGTGCCAACTAATTTTGTTTATTTCATAAGGCCATGAGCTTTAAATGTTTGTACACAATGTATTTATCAATTCTTGTAAGAGGTAGCACCTTGAATCAACCACTGTGGAAACAAAGTAGGTAGTGTCTACATGCTCACAAATACAAAAATACAAATCTCTTACCTTCTAGAAGCCATCTTCAGGTTGTTGCTTGGTGCTAAACAGCCAAAGCTTGAGCTTTATCAACTTCTTAGATCAGCCAAGGATACTTGTGAATTCAAATTATGCTTTTATGCAGCATAAAGATAACAGATTAAGAGCTCAAAGATATTCAGCAAAGGCGCATTAATAGTGTCATTCAATGAAGAGTTAAGGCTTCATCTGGTTTTCAGCCACTTTGTTGCAATCAAGAGGACTACAGGTTGATGATCAAAGCAGGTAATATCTTGATGTAATCAATGCAATGAATTCAAAGCATTATTATGGAGCTCGGCCTTGGCTTTGGCCCCAAGCTCGAGAATAGCGCAACTGGTATGATTAAAATGTATGCACCTGGACTCTTAGTTTTTATTTATGGTGAAATAAATACTTCAGCCAGAAAATGTGACCATGGATTCAGTGCAGGCCAAGCACAGGCCACACTGCATTTACCAGCCTCAGTTGAAGTTAGTGCGCAAGTGAATAATCGAGCTGTCTGCTTTATTAGCCCTTTCTTTAGGCTTTAAAGTCAAAACAGACGTCAAAACCACTGAAGAAATATCCAGAAAATCACAGCATTCACACCTGTCGCAATTGCAAAATTAGCCAAAAACCCTTTCCATCTCCCCAGGCTCTCAACACACGGCACAAATTTGACACAAAGCATCAACACCACAGAACAAAATCTCAATAACCAAGGTTTGCGTTTATGACGAGGGCGAAGAAGGCCAATACCACAATCAGCTGTTGCATAGTTTTGTATCGATGAGATGGAAATCCTACGCTACTTACAGCTGCATTCAGTGCCCAATCGACTTTTTTCTCACATATCATAACATTGAATTTTAGCAAATGATTTTCCTGTTTCCATTTGAATGAAATTCATTCAAAAAAACACAAATGGCACAGTAAAAAATAATAAGTAAATGCAGCAGTAAGCAAATCTGCTTGTCACAAACCCATGCTTGAACACTTGATATTCCCTGCGCTGAACATAAGATAAGTAGTGTTTTTTACCTTCATCATGGGATAATCATGCATTTTTTGTACCGTGGCCGGTGCTAAAAAGTCGTTTGTACCACCAGGATGCCTACCTTTGCTCAAACCGTTCAGACTTCAAATCGAAGCATATTGCTTCGTGTTTCATTTACAGACTTCACTGTCCTTCATTTCTCTTCCCTTCCTTCCGGTTTCCACCGGCGGTTTATTAATCAATACAGAAAAATAGGCAAATAAGGTATGTAGTTTGAGTCAACGAACAAAAACATAGTGAATAGATAGATGGCGCCACCGGCTGGCAAGGATACAGGAGCTCAGATGGATTAGTAATGTTAGAGAGAAGACAGTTAGTTGTTAGTGAAGGTTGGTAAAGGAGGTGACGCCATCATTAACAACAAAAAGTCAGAGTGAAAAACGGCCAGCATTGCCCCTCCTCGGACGGGTACCGCTGACCTCCAGCCAGCGTGCGCGCCGTCGATTAAACGGTCGCGGCGCCGTCGTAGGTGGCGGCAGATGGCGCCAGCATGCCGTAGCGCCGACCGGCGGCACAGCCGCCCGGCCGTCGGCGCCACGGCGGTAAAGCCATCAGGCCGCCGGCGCCACGGCGGCGCAGCCCTCGGATGATTGTGCCGCGGGGCGGCGCAGCCCACAGCCGATGGTACTCCGGCAGCGTGGCCGCCGGGTCGCCGGCGCCCCAGCAGTACAGCCCCCAGGCTGACGGTGAAGCAACGGCACAGCCCCCGGACCCCGGGGCCGCGACAGTACAGCCATCAGGCCCCCGGCGCCGCGGCGGCACAGCCCCCCGGACGAGGGCGCCGCGGCGGCGCAGCAAACAACCGACAGCGCCACGGCGGCACAGCGACCGGCGCCCCAGCGGCACAGCCCTCGAGCTGACGGTGACACGACGGTACAGCCTTCGGGCCGCCAGCGCAGCGGCGATGGATCCTTCAGGCAGTCGGTGTTGCGGCGGTTCAGCCCCACGGCTGACGATACTGCAGTGATACAGTTGGCGGGCTGCTGGTTATGCAGTGGTGCAACCCTCGCGTTGACGGCGCCGCCGCCGGTGCTGCAGTACCTGCAGTGGTACAACGCCCGCGCTGCAGGCGATGCAGTGGCTCAGCATCACGGGCTGTCAGTGCTGCAGTGGTGCACTCCCGGACTGCCGGCGCCGCAGCGGGACTCCCGGATCGCCAGCGCCGCAGCGGAACAGTCACCGGGGCGCCAGCGCCGCAGCGGCGGAGACCCGGCCACATCAGGTCGCCGGTTGGAGTGCCGATGATGGGCGGTGCAACTAGCTGTCAACGCCGCGGGCTGGTGGAGTCTGGAGAACGGGGATGTGTGTGATTAACGCAAGTCATGACATCGGCCGAGGCAGAAGGCGAGATAGGATGTTACAATAGAAAGTGAGACCGAGTGACCACTCTGACAGAAAGAAGTGAAGTAAACCAAGTTCAATGAAATCAGGCGCTGTGGACAGGGTATAGGGCTGCAACGATTCCTGAGGCCCTGCCCACAAACGCAAAGTTAAGATGAATAACGTAAATTGTGTGAACGAGCCTGGCGGATGACTTAAAAGTAACTTAATTATTTGTTAATATTGGTCAAAGAAAATTAACTTCGTAACTTTCTTGAAAAGTGACTTACTCAATTTAATTTCATTTGTAAAACTGTTGCCTTATGAGAAAATAATATGCATCTATCGTTCTATTTTTTCACCTATTCCCCTGCCAAACAAAAATTACGAATGTAATCTTCAGGTCTATCGATACCATCAAAATATCGATAGATATTAGTAATAAATGCCCCCTTGGTATGCACGCGAGCTGAGGGAACTACAGCTTCGGATAATGACGCAAAATATTTTGGTTTTGATATATTTTGTAGTAAGATTTTTATTTAAACTTTGATAGATCAAATCAACTTCTTAAATAATGTAAAATTGAAATAAATAGTTGATGAAATCTGTATATGGCTTAATTGGTGAATATATGCGTCAAAAAAGGATAAAATTGCTTACACTAAATTTTGTCTCAACACCATCGTTTTTGTCGCAAGCATCGATGCATCGATTTGGCTTGTCAATTGTGGATTTGGCTTGCCAATCGCATTGCAGCTTCCATAGAAAGTTGCGAATTTATTTATAGGTATCTTGGTTGCGAACTTTTGGGCTTGAATTTTATGAAGGCCTCGTTAATTCTGTTTGTTGATTGTCGGAGCATATTTACCATACTGCCCAGGCCCTAGGGTATGATATTATTATTACAGTGTCGTTTAGCAAGCCGCATCCCAGCTCAAGCCGAGATTCTCATAGATTCCAATTCAAATTCCGATTGAGCTTGAGTGCAGAGTGATAACACTGACCTTCACCTGCCTTTCCACAATTCAAATTGAGGAGAGGCTAGGGGAGCTCTAATATTGCTTCATAAATTGGCTGTTGTTTCCATGAATGTAGTACTAAACATCAGGCTTCTGAGTTTTGATGACAGTCACATTATTTCATTGTATGTCACAGATTACCACTTACCAGTGTCCATGGGTTAGCAGGATTTCTGAGCAGCTGTTGTGATGTCGGCCCGTCCGCCGGGTTTCCCCTCTGGTGGAGCTGACAGTCAGATGCAGTCTGGAGGGATGACAGGACAGCAGGCACGCTTCGGAGCGCCTGGCGCTGCTCCGGGCATGTGCTCATACGGATCCCCCGGCTACTCGGTCAGTTGGTGTGGCAGGCATTCGGTAGCAGGTGCTGGATTTGTCAGTCAGTCAGACAGTCAGCGTGGCAGTGACTCAGTTGCATTTGTGACAGTGAGCTGTGAGGGAGGTGATCGGATAGATGATACTGTCTGTGTTTGAGTTGTTACTTAGTCACTGGTCAGTGTTAAGGCCGCCGTCCACTGTGACGGAATTCCGTCTGGAGTCCGTCAGGAATGTCGCCGCATGCTGACCGCATCCGGACCACAGACTGAAAGCTCACGGACACTTGCTAACAATTTGTGAAGAGCAATTATCAGTTATTACAAAAGAAAGTATAGCAATTTACTAGCATAACATAGTGCTGCCATGTCAAGGAAATTATGTTTACTTACTTCATCTTGAAAGAGTTGAAATTATTTCTTAAATTTCCAATTGAAAACTCGAAGACGGAAGACTGTACCTGTCCGCGTCCGTTCCGCCTGCGTTCTCCGCAGAAAAGTTCAGCATGTCGGACTTTGTTATTTCATTTCCGTAGCAACTGCTTCCGAAACGCTTGCGGAGAGCTGACAGAAAATCAACAGGTGATTGCCGTTCGGATGCGGTCCGCACGGAGCGCACACGATTTCCGTACGGACCGGATGCGCCCATAGTGTTCTGTGTTAAATTCCGTACGGACCGCACGCGTTCCGCACAGTGGACGGCGGCCTGTAGTGTGTTTTCAGTTAGTTAGTGTATCAGCTCAGTATCAGTATCAGTCAATGAGTTAATGAGTCCATTTGGTGAATTGGTAAATGAAGGAACGAATAAACTGCTATGTGGTCCAGTGAAAACATGCAGGAGTGAATTACACATTGAATGGTGTTGGAGACTGATTCCACCTTCATACTTACTTTTACAGATGTTTCAATGTGTTTGAAATGTTTTGTTGAACCCAGTGGTGGGTTTGATGGATTTGATTGCTCATACGGCCCAGCTGTCAGACCTGACTGGTCCGTGACACTGTGTCGTCTGTCGTTTGCAGGGTATGCCGTCCCAGCACGGCGGCCAGTACCCCTCCAGCAGCAGCCAGAACATGATGCAGCGCTCAGGTGTGTGTCGCTGGTAGTCATGGCTCGTAGGTGTTATCAAGCCGAAGAATCAACGATATGACTGGATTGACGTGACTGACTGAGCTAAGGGCTCTCACAGTCACATGAGCGTGTCTGGGTTTAGCGTCAGTCATGACGTCGCTTATAGTAAAATGCTATTTTTCAGCGTACACCAAGTCACCAACACTGAGCGTGATCTTTCAGCAGTATGCCAGTGTTACGAGGCTGCTTCACTGCACCAGCGGCCGTGTGTAACTCGTGTGTTGGCTGTTGCAGGCGGCAGCATGGTGCAGAACCAGTACCCGGCCAGCCGGCCGCCGGCCATGCAGTCCAGCAGCAAACGGTCTTCGGACGGACGCTCCCTCGCCAACCAGCCCCTCAAAAGGTCAGTGGACGCTGATCGTGGCCGTGTTTGTTACGGCACATAGGCATCACCGATACGCATTTCGTAGGCGTTTCATATTGGTCATTACGGACTCTGCGCAGTGCGCGAAAGACGCACAAGTTGTTTTGGCATGTTTTATGCTTCACATATTTTCAACTTTGCATTGCCAAACTCAGCTAACATAGGTAACGATGTGTCTCCCAGCGCGAAGAAGAAGAAGCGCATGGCCGATAAGATTTTGCCGTGGAAGGTGCGGGACCTGGTGCCGGAGTCGCAGGCCTACATGGACCTGCTGGCCTTCGAGCGGAAACTGGACGCCACCATCATGAGGAAGCGACTCGATATTCAGGTGAGGAGGTAGTGTCATACAAACTGGTATCAGGCCACAGGTCACGGCTCTTTCTCGCTAGCTTGTGCTCACATGTTTCCGCAAACCATGATAGCCAATGTCGAATGACTTTCAGGGGAGGGTTCAGATTTGTTGTATGCTTGGTATTGCATATGGGATGTTTGAGAATTGAAGCTGGGTATGGCCGTAGACGAGTATCAAGGCATTTACCCGAAAATGTAGCTGGTAGCGGTAAGTTGGCTGAAATTTGGCCGATAGCGATCATGGCTTCCGGCACTTTATCTGCTAAGTCTCTGGTGCCCTTCTCACCCCCCCCCCCCTCTCCACTCCTCAGGAGGCGCTGAAGCGTCCGCTGAAGCAGAAGCGGAAGCTGCGCATCTTCATCTCGAACACGTACTTCCCGGCCAAGGAGCCGGCCGAGGGCGAGGCCGACTCGGGCAGCTCCTCCTCCTGGGAGCTGAGAGTCGAGGGCAAACTGCTCGACGAGAGCAAGGCAGACGCCAGCAAGGTACGACGGCGCGCTCCGGTGACTTGATCCTCCCTCGCCCCCCCCCCCCCTCTCGTCCCCGGCCAGGTGTCTGATGCTTGTGTAGTGTCTTCAGTATGCGGTCTTATTCACGTATCGATAGTTTTTTTTTTCAAGACATAGCAGACCTTCTTACTTACCTTATCACTGTCCCGCTGCAGGCGAAGCGCAAGTTTTCGTCGTTTTTCAAGTCTCTGGTGATTGAGCTGGATAAGGACCTGTACGGCCCCGATAACCATCTGGTGGAGTGGCACCGGACGGCCACCACCCAGGAAACGGACGGATTTCAGGTGAGGCTAGAATGTAATAAGCACCTACTGGGTATCCAGTAACCACTGTCGCCGGACGGTGACCACTTGAGATCGACGGTTTCCAGGTGATGCTGTCTTGGCGGTACGGGTAACCAACTATTTTTAATGTTTTCTTATATTTTTCATTTCACTTTATACATTTTTACGTGTTTTTAAAGTACCTATACATCGTTTATCTCTCAGTGTTCATATTTACTGTTTGTTCAGCTATTCTGGTTTACCTTGTATCATGATTTCTTTCCCACCTTACATGGGATTTTAAAACTCATGCTCAGTGGTCGTTCACACATTTTTTTTCTTCTTCATATTTTCACTTCATTGCCTATTTCATTATATTGTTCATTGTTTTCTATTTTAGTTACATGTGTATCTGCGTTTTTATCCCGGCGTGTGTATGCTGCCTGTGTGTGCCATATTTATTGTTTTTAATCTTGTGACTCCGTCTTTTAGTGGGTCATGTGCCTGTTGATGGTCTGTTGAATAAATACAAATACAAAATACAAATACAGTGGTGGATACGGAAGGACTTTGTGTGGACTTTTACGAGGCAGTATGAAATCGGATATCAAGTTATTATATTTTTAGAACTGACAGATTCTTTATTAGGCCATCCAAGCAGTCATCCAGCTTGATGCATGTGGTGCTGATTTTCTATCAGATTTGAGACCCTCCCACTTCACCGTCCAAATAGTCCGTTCCTGCCCTCCCTATCAGCCATTCAACCCACTGTGTGTGCCGCCGCAGGTGAAGCGCCCCGGCGATAAGAACGTGCGCTGCACGATCCTATTGCTGCTCGACTACCAGCCGCCGCAGTTCAAACTGGACTCGCGGCTGGCGCGGCTGCTGGGCGTGCACACCCAGTCGCGGCCGGTCATCACACAGGCGCTGTGGCAGTACGTCAAACACAACCGGCTGCAGGTGCGTATCGGACGCAGAGGAGTTGTGGTGAAGAGAGGGGGAAGTGAGTGGCTACGAGGCTGTTTTTCCACTGGACCAGCGGTGGTCTTTTTGGAGGAGTGGATTGTTGGAGCCGGAGGCATCATTCAGGACCCCTTTTCAGCTGTATTTTGTGCTGATTACCCTAAGTCACCTACCTTGACCTGATCTGACCTGACCTGACCTGATCTGACCCGGCCTGCAGGACCAGAGTGAGCGCGAGTACGTCAACTGCGACCGGTACCTGGAGCAGATATTCCAGTGTCCGCGTATGAAGTTTGCCGAGATCCCGCATCGTCTGAACTCACTGCTGCACCCGCCGGACCCGATCGTCATCAACCACACCATCAGCGTGGAGGGCGCCGAACAGAAGAAAACCGCCTGCTACGACATCGAGGTCGAGGTCAGTGTGGCGCAGCGATCATGAATGGAAGGGGGGAGGAGGGACGACATATTCGGCGAACCAGCGGGATGTCAATGTGGAGATTTCTTGAGTTTTGTTTGTTTAACGCCTTGACAAGTGTTTGTAATATGACCGATGCCGGTAAGTTTTATACCCTAGTTATGTTTTGTTTTCTCAGTGCCCCATAGCTCTTTAAGCCCTCGTGCTTTTCTGTTGTGGTCGAAATAAGCGCACGATTATTGCCTTCCGACCGTTTGACCGACCCCAACCCTAACCCATCTACCGGCCGTGACCGCACCCCTGACCTGTGCTGACCGTCCGTGCCCCGCTGACCTGTGCTGACCGTCCGTGTACCGCTGACCTGCTGACCGTCCGTGCCCCGCTGACCTGTGCAGCTGACCGGCCGTGTACCGCTGACCTGCTGACCGTCCGTGTACCGCTGACCTATGCTGACCGTCTGCTCCCCCGCCAGGTGGACGACACGCTGAAGACGCAGATGAACAACTTCCTGCTGTCGACGGCCAGCCAGCAGGAGATCCAGAATCTCGACAACAAGGTGCACGAGACGGTGGAGCTCATCAACCAGTACAAGATCAACCGCGAGTTCTTCCTCAGCTTCGCCAGGGACCCGCAGCAGTTCATCAACAAGTGGCTCGTCTCGCAGAACAGGGACCTCAAGGTAACCGGGGGAGACAGCAGATTGGGTTAGATTGGATATTGGGATGGATTAGAAAATAAAGACGCTTTTGATTGCAAGACTAACGAAAAAAAAACGTTTTGATTAATATTTCATAAACTATTGATGTGAAAGGTTCAATAAAACATCCTTGAACTGTTGAGTTTTGTCCGTCATTTTACGGTCCCTTTTCCCGACGTCTTTTGCCGATAGGAGTCGTAGCTCGTATTTATCCTGTACTTGGCGTCAAATGACGAAATTGACCAGTTTTCATGTGTTGTCCATATCGTGTACCGTCTGGTGGCACCCTTTCCCCTGTCCCCTGGCTAAACCATTTCGGTTCATCTTTGTGACCCTTGTCCCCTCTGTCTGTCCTACAGACCATCACGGACGTGGTCGGTAACCCGGAGGAGGAGCGTCGCTCCGAGTTTTACCAGCAGGGCTGGGCGCACGAAGCCGTCCACCGCTACTTCTACAGCAAGGTGCAGCAGAAGCGCGCCGAACTCGAGCAAGTGCTCGGCATCAGGAGCTCCTGAACACGCCGCCCGGCTGAGACCGCATCTCGAGGTGTAGCGATGTGTAACCAGGGGGACTCGGCTGTCGGGGGGGGGATTCAGTGACGTCTGTTCTGAGGGATGAGTGAGGTCTGACTGAGTGGTCCGTATAGCGAATGATTGGAGTGAGCGGGGCGCCATCTGGGGCAGCGGTCTGTGTCGGCAGTGGGAGCTGGGTTCGTTGGAGCTGCCAGCCGGGGATGGAGCTGCCTGTCTTTAGTTGGGGGTCAACGGGGGACGTATATGGCGTAGCTGTGCGCCGTGCTGTAGGCCTCTTGCAGGCCCCGGTTTCAGCGCCGGCCGATCCCCCGCTCTGACGCAGTTCACCTGCCTGCTGCTGGAGTTGGGGCCGCTGCCTCGCCCCGCCGGTGTACCGTGTATTGAGGCAGTGTGTAGGGTGAATGCCAGCCTGTCGCCGCTCTATCCCTCCGTCTCGCCCTGTGTTTTCGTCTGCTGGATCCCCGTCCCGTCCCATCCGCTGCTCATTAGAGAGGTGTGACTGGTCCCACTGCTGTCACCGGCTATCTGTATTCAGTGACGGCGGCGACACCCGTACTGTGGGCTGATGCGACTTTTCTGCTCTTTTGTAGATTACGTGATGAATAGGGCTGATGTCAGTGAATTGTAACTTTTTTCCTAGGTGGTCTTGCTGCCATTTTTGTTCTTTGAAGGACTGAATGTGTCATTTTGTCGTATCTACCCACTATTGTGTTGTACCAGTCGAGTCGATAGTGCATGAACCCGTGATTAGGTGTATCGTATTTTTATATATTTTGTCCGTATTTAGCTAAATGGATGGCTGAAGCCTGGACTCAGCTAACTTTGCGTGACGTAGCTCGCTTTTACTACCAATGAACGGCTAAACAGTTTTTGACGAGTGTTTTCTTCTGGTAGCGTTCTCACCTGTCATCTGTGTCTAGTGGAGTTAAAAACTTTGTAACGTATTATTCACATAATCTGTCATGCGCCTCTACACACCACATGAGGGCTCTTTTTGCGCTGGAGGGTCGTGATTGCGTAAGGTAAATTCAACTCCCGCGAATGGCAGTGTCGTGCGCTGTTGAAAAATTGCTTCCTTGGCCCACATTGTGCAGATTGTTTCTGTTTTTCTTCCACAAAAGTCAATGGAAGGAATATAAAAATTCACCTCATCCATTGACAGTGTATTGCACATTTACGGGTCGGTTTTCGCCTTAGCGTTAAATCAGGTACTGGGAAGGCTATGTGGATGGGCGCTCCTATTTCAGTGACCTGGGCGACTCTCCCTGGGGTTTGGGTGATACAGCTATGACACTGACTGTCGGCCGTCCCAGGGTCATTTCTCGGCCAGCTCCGCCAGGTCCAGAGTCCAGGGCCGCCCCTGCGCGCCCGGGTGCTGGCCGGAGACGCCGCACTTGCGGCCCCTCCTCTGGCCGTCCCTGCCGGCGCCGTGAGCGCCCGTCTCCTGCAGGGAGACTCTGGGGCCGGCGGGCGGCGGCCGGCGCCGGGCCCAGGCGCACCTCCTGCAGGGAGACGCGCTGCGGTCGGCCCGGCGGGTCGGACGGCGACCGTGGCAGTACTGAGAGACGGTACAGCGCGCCCGGGTCCAAACCGGCCAGCGGAGGGCCGGGGTCGGCCCCGCACCGGGGAGGGGAGAGGGAGGGGCTCTGGGGGCATGGGCGGTACAGGGGCGCCTGCTCCTGGGTGATGGGAGGGCGGTACTGAGGGGGCTGTTCCGTGGGTGGCGAGTGGTACACTGGCGGCTCGCCCTCCTCTGGCGGGGAGATCTGGTACTGGGGCGGCCGCTGCTCCGCCGCGGTCGGCTGGAACAGAGGGGCCACTTCCAGGGACACGCGATCCAGGCACAGCTGAGTCTCCTGTAGGGACACGGGCCGCGGTCGGAGCGGGACGCCCGGCAGCGGCAGCCGCTGCAGCGAGATGTGTTTCACGTGCTGCTGGAGCAAGGCGTGGCGCGGACTGCGGGGCGGCGCCGGTGCCCACTGCTGGTCCCGGCTCCCGCGCTCCTGGGAGCGCCGCGGGAGCCGCTGGGAGCCTGCTGCCGGCTCCGGAGGGGCCGGTCGCGGCCGCAGCATCCTGTCGTCCAGGGAGCGGCGGAGCGGGCGCGCCGGCGGCTGCAGACCGGCGCCGGCCGGCCGGACGGCGCTCTCAGAGGGCCCGTGCAGCTCGGCCGGCGTCAGCAGGATGTGGGACGGCGGATCGCTGCCCTGGGGGGCCTGGACCGAGCCCCGCCGGCCCAGCGGGGAGGCGGCAGACGCCGAGACGGAGCCGGTGAGAGGCCGCGCGGCGCCGCCCGTCACCAGTTGCGCCGCCGAGCGGGCGCGCGGCACGCGCCGGGAGCGGCCCGCCGAGCCGGGCTGGCGCACCGAGCGCGAGCGTCCGCCGCCGGGCCCTGTCAGCGTCAGCCCCAGCTCCAGGTCCAGCTGACTGGACAGGGCGCCGCTGCTGCCCTGAGGGAGACCGGCGCCGTCAGAGCGCGGATTGACGTGGAGTCGGCGCATGGACGGGACGAGAAAAAGCGCGACAAAACAATGCATCGTTCACAAATATAGTCGAATTTCGAAATGTAGCACGACTCACGAGCTTCCATTTGTAGCAAGTAATATCACAAAATTAAATAGAAACCTGTGTGCACATTGTAGTCAGTAGCCACTACTGAAAATTGTATACCTGCCTTGTTGAACTGAAACCGAATCGTCCTATAAGTGAATCATTGAGGATCCCGCACTCCCGCTCACGTGGTTCAGGGTGCTGATGTTGGTAGTTGACGTTTTCGCCGATTCACTCAGCCTGCCACGGCGCGGCCGACAGGGGCACTGCCAGAACCCCTTCTCGTCTCGGCAGCAGGAGATCAGTAGAAAGCCGACCAGAAACCTGCCAATGGAACGGCGGCCGGCCGATTCGTGATAACGCACGTCTCACACCCTGTCTTGCTAGCTAGGCATTGACTCGAGTTCAGACACCATCCCAGTCTAATGCGGCGAAAGGACTGGGCACTATAGACGGCGGCTGCCGGCCAGAAAAAAAACATCGATCCAGTCAAATATGCCAGAAAAAAGTCAAATAATGCCGCAGCTCACATTACTAGTGGATACAATTCAACAGCGATCATACTAAGTACTAACGGTAGCAATGCTAAGCGAAGCGGTAAATCATCTATCACATTGAAGACCCAGCGTCATACCAAAAGCCGACACCAGTTTTGATTGGAATTTAGACTGCTCCTGCCTCCAGCCCAGCGGGTAGATACCGGATGATCTCTTAAATAAAATCAGTATGTACCTACGGTTTTAAGTGACGTTGGAACCTGTCGCTTACCTCTTGAAAACTCTACAGGAATAATTAGGCGATATAATAGTTACATTCGCTTTATCAATTAAAATAACCAGCAAAAGAAATGGCAATTTACTTACAGCGGCGCGACTAGATGGCATTAGTGATAAACGCCTGGATGGTATACTGTTCCGCAACGCTTAGGATCCCGCCCAGAGATGGCAGCACTAGTTTACGCCTGACAGGTATGCTGTACCGCAGGGCTGGAAATCGCGGTTCGGCGAAAACCACGTGAATAATCGGTCGCCGCGATCGCAATTAATGACATTATCAATATTTTGACGAAGGGAACAACAAACCAATACACCTGAGACCGCTAGAAAGGTGACTTTCCGTGAATTGACGTGAGTCATGACTCATGAGTGAATGTGCAATGTTATGAATTAGATTAGCAACCGCGGATACGGATTCTGAACATTAATCGCCAGCATTTAGAATGTTGATCGCTCTCAAATGTAAATACAATACAATACAATACAACACAGCACAACTTCTGAGACAAGTTATCCAAAATCAACGCCGCAGTCGCCGGCACGGGGCACCATCGCGGTAGACTGCGGATACACTTACCCAAGGCTATATAACACTTACCAGAGGACGGGATTACAGAAGATACTGATGGGCACCAGCGCCTCCCTCCAGGAGATCATGTCGGCGTCGGTGCGGTTGCGCGCCGAGTACGCACCGAAGCTGTCAAAGCCGCCCATCCACCCGCGGATCATGGGTGCCGGTGGCCGCACGGCGGGACGGCCCGCTCTGCTCTGAGGGACGGACCGCCGCGTCGGCCGGCGGCGGAGGGCCACTCGTCTCGAGCCGCGCGGCACGCCGCTCAGCAGCGCTGACCGCCACTCCACGGCCGCCGATACGGCGCGCGGCTTTGTGAGGGTCCGCCGACACAGCAGCCGGCCCGGCCGGCCGTCAGCGGACGCAGAATAGCCCCGGCGCAGTGTAATCCGCCGGCCGGTCAGCACGGCGCGTCAGCAGGGCCGCCGCTCCGGATTACGCTGTCAGAGGATCTGCAGACGCAATACGCCGCGGAAGGCCCCGGTCCGTCACGGCATGACGTAATGATCGACCGGTGCCATGGAGGTCAGATCGGCGCAGCTTGGGACCCTCGCTGCTTGAACCGGGGTGAGAAGACCGAGACCAAAGCTCCTCTAAACCCGTTAACAGGTCAACCATGCACGAGCATTTTCATGTCCTCGCAGCGCGGGGGAACATGATATAAAATGTTCTGTATCAAAGCTAGAAAAGTGCGAGCAATCAGCGAATTCATCGATGCATGAATTTATTCGCAAAGCTTCAGCTTACGCAGAGTAAAACAAAACGCCATATTCGAGCACTTTATTTCACGAACAATCCGTCAGGGTGGCATATTTTTAGCCATTCACTAAATGGCCGAACTGAGCAATACTTCAGCGAATGGTTTGACCTCAGCGACATAAGGCTCAGCAAACTGAATACCTCAGGAACATGGACTCAATAAGGTCACATCAGCACAGGGACAGTTCGACGGACAGCACGGAGCGAGATCACCAAGCCTGAAGAGCCACGGACAGAGTTTTTAATACTGGTGCAATGTGAGATAGCTCTGAAGACGGCACCGTGACTGCAGTGCGAAACGGCGGGACCACTGGGACCACTGTAATTACGGGCAACATCGGTAGTGAGGGTGAACATTCGGGATGTGGACGGTGGGGGTGAATGGCAATAATCGGTTACAACACCGGAACAATTCCGCAGTCCTGTAGGTAACACAGCTACGGGTCTCCCCACAGCACAAAACCATCACATGACGACCATTTCTGGCAGATGAGTTGTAGATCGCCTCAGCCACTTTTTATGTTACAATACCCATCACTCCCAAATGATATAAAAGCCTACAAAACGGTACATTTTTACAAATTGAGGAGTGGCAAAATGGCGAATGAGGTAGCAAAACGAAACGTTTCTTCAGCTTTTTTTTAGAAAAAAGAAACACACAAAGAACCATAAGAAAACACGTCGTTTCCCGACACTCACACAATTATCGGAGCCGACTAGTTTTTGCCGGAGGACCCGAAGCCGCCGTGGCCGCGCTCGGTCTCGTCCAGTGCCTGCACCTCCTCGATGTCTGGGTAGAAGATGCGCTCCAGGATCAGCTGCGCCACGCGGTCGCCCTGCTTCACCTGCAGCTCCTCCCGGCCGTGGTTGAACATGACGACGCCCACGTTGCCGCGGTAGTCGCGATCGATGACGCCGGCGCCGATGTCGATGTGCTGTTTCCATGCGAGCCCGGAGCGCGGCGCCACGCGGCCGTAGCAGCCCTCGGGCAGCTGCACCTGAATGTCGGTCTTGACCAGCGCCTTGCCCTGCGCCGGCACCGTGCAGTCGTGCGCGCTGTACAGGTCGTAGCCGGCAGCGTCCTTGGAGCCGCGCTTGGGCAGGATGGCGCTGGCCGAGAGCCGCACGCAGCGCAGCACTGGCCGGCCAGCAGCCGTCGCCATCTTCTTCGGCGATGGAGACTCGCAGGGGGAGCTGCGCACGTTCTGGTTCACCT